TGATATATTTTCCATTTATTTGAGTAATTTTATTTAGTTTAAAAATAGTTTCTGACTTTTAAAAATTATTAAAATTTTCATAAAAATATTTGAGTTTCTTTCTGATTTTTCTATGGCCTTACTTAATTTTTCTTGATTAATTTGAGTATAGTTGCTATTTTTCTCTCTTATTTCCATTTTATAATCATTTTAAAAACCTTTTTCTTTTATTTTAAATCTATTTTTATTTTTTGTATATATATTATGACTGATCTTGGATTAAAATTTTGATCATGAACTTTATTAACATCATTAGATCCATGATGTTAAGTCTAACTCCATAAAAATGGATGAATAATTTTAATAATAGTTTGATTAAATTTTGGTTCAAATGTGGTTTATTCATTTCCCCCTCCCTCTTCATCTTATCACATTCTTATTGCACCAAATGTTATTGGATCATGATTTACATATCATGTCTCAAAACATGAGGTGCATAGATTGCTATTGATCGGCCTCAAAACAGGTGTGACTTCTATATAAGTTCACTTACAATTGCTTAACATAACGCTAACTTTTTTTCTCAAAAGATTGGACTCTTGTCAATCCTTGTAGTGATGCAAACAACTGTACTTCTACAATATGTAGTGATGTGAGATATTTTCCACCTGGGTGTTGAGTGAGGCATTGTTGATTTTGAAATCCAAGCCATATCATCTACTTTGAGATGACGCAAATTCTCTTTTCTCATAATTGTGGGTAGTAAGCACGTTTTCCACACGAACAATGACAATGGTGTCTTGTCTCTTAAAATTAACCAACACACTTGTGTTTTAAAATTTTTAAAAGAGGAACTATGTGTGCCATGTTACCCTATTGCACAGAAGATGGTATGTAGGCACTAAAGGTTCAGAACCGCGATAGATGCAAAAATTTTAAAAAAACATATACTTCTTTCCTCACCACCACAATCTATTTTCATACAACATTTTATAGCCAAAATATACATATTTTACAAAGAGGTTCCTGCGGAGTACCTTAGATGTTTAGGGTGCTAATACCCTCCCTTTGCATAACCAACCCCCTTACCTAGAATATTTCCCCCCTCTTTTGGGTTATTCGTTCTTTTCCAATTACTGTGGAAACAATAAAGTGCGGTGGCGATTTTTATTTTGATCTGTATAAGTCAAGTCAATCCAATGGCTTAGTATTAACATTTCTACCGCTACAAGTGGTGGCATTCATCAAGATTCATAGGTTCATGTGTTTATTTACATGCCTTCTTCAACAAGTTTCATTGAGACTTTAGCTACGTCTTTGAGTGTGCTTCAAGAAAACATCATTTTAAGACCTATTGTGATTCATCATGCTTTATTTTGCCAAGAAAGTTCAAAAAGATTCAAGGTTGATTCAACAAGTTTGACCTAATTGAGCAAGTGTTTGATTCATAGATCACAAGTGCATAACTCTCTCAATTTTCAATATTTTGAGTTGGTTCTTTTTTCTATGTGTTTTTATCATCATCTACAACAACTTCTCTTCACATGACAAGACCCAATTGTGCAATAAAAATCATCAAAAGTTAAAAGGGGTTTCAAGTCATTTTGACACTCTCTGAGTTAGGATTTGTCGGCTTCTAATGACCATATCTTGCTTATTTTTTGAGATTTTGACTGACTCCAAAGATATGATTCTCTTTAAAGGGTACTTCACAAGTTTTCTTTTCAGGGATCTAAGACTAATTTTGAATGGAAGATCACTAATGGTTGAGAAAGATTACAAGTCTCTTTGAAAAGCCTTTGAATCTTAGGATTTGATTTCAAATGATCATAAATTGGTCAATTTATATCTCCTTGAGCCCATTCTTTTTCCATAACAATCTTTGGGATGTATATTACAACTTTGTTTCAATGTGCAAGACTTAAAAATGCTTGGAAAGTTCTTTAAGAATTGAAAAGATTATAGGTCTTTTGTGAATTTTCCCAAATTTGTTCATCATCTTCCAAAGACCATAACTCTTTCAATTTTTATGATTTTTGAGTGATCTCAATTCCACAATTCAATTCAAGAGGTCTACTTCTTCTTATCTTCAGATATCAAGATCAAATTTTGAGTGGAAGGTCATGTAATTTTGAAGAACATTATAGGTCATCTTGAGGTCCCATACTTAGAAATATTTTTAAGTACAAAAATCAATTTGTTTTTCACGATTTCAAGAGGACATAACTTCCAGCTCAATTATCCAAATGGATTCTTTCTTGGCACATTGTAAATATTGTGACCTTGTCTTTCAAATGCTTCAAGAATCATGTGATAAAGTCTCTTGAGTTATTTGCACCATGGATTCAAAGTTGGCACCTTGAAACTGATTTTGTCAAAATAGTCAGTTTGCAAATTGGTTAATATGGCCTCTAATCACAAAAAAATTGTGCATTGTTACTTCTAAACATGCTTAGAAACCTTCCAGAAGCAATTAGCACCTTGAAACGTAAGTTTTGGTTGAGTTTTAAGCAAATATGAATCACACTTTTCATGCTTGCAACTTCACACGAATTCTCTCAAAATCTCATCATATCACACACTTGAGCATTCCATTTGCTCAGCTATAAATAAAGGGTGATATTCCACCCATTTGGACAAGCTTAGATAGCCAGAAACACCTTGTCAAACTTCCTCCATACCTCTCATTTCTGCAACTTCAAATTCCTACTTAGAGCACTTACAGCTCCAATTTCTTTATTGATTCTTCTTCCTTGAACTTCACTGAAGCTAATAGAAGAAGAACCAAGCCTTGAGGTGTTCTAAATCACGCTAGCCAAGTCAAGTTTAGAGCAATTTCTTCATAATTTGTTCAGGTAGTAATTGACATTAATTCTTGTAACTCAAATGACTGGAATGATCTATGATGTTCATTGATGCTTGCTGATGATTTAATTTTGGTTAATTAATGCATTTGATGCATCTGTTTTTGAATCAAAATTGTCAAAACTTTTTGGTTTTTTCTAAATCGACTGAGCTATACTTTAAACGAATTTTTTGCGAGGGGTAGGTTAGAATCTTCTGGATGAGACAAATTCAATGATACCGTTGTGAGATTCTAACATTTTCGTTTAAAGAATCTAACAAAATCTCAACGCGCAGGGGTCTGGAGGTTGAAGACGACCTACGTGTCATTCTTCAACCAATGATTGTATGCTATTTCTTTTAATTTCATTGGTTGGTATTTTAATGATTATGTGTGTTTCTCATAAAGGTCTATAACATGTATAGCGCGCCAGGTCCCTCAGATCTGCTTACTAACTCATTTATCAATGATCAGATGATCCACATTTTTTTAGTTTAATATTTTATTTTCTGATTTTTGTTTTAATTGTTTTAAACTTCAAAAATTCATAAAAACTCATTTCGACTTCTAAAATTCTAAATTTTTTTTACCAAAAATACTTTTGATTTTCCTCTTTCTGATTTTTATTTTTTTCACAATTTTGTTTTTTGATTTGATATTTTTTATGGTTTTTCACTTTATTAGACTTGTTTTAATTGTTTAAAAATATTTTTCTTGATTTTTAAATTCTGAAAAAATTATGGAAGGATCCAAAGACCTCTTGACAAATATTGGTGACCTCATTTATTTATATTTTTTATATTTTTCACAAATTTTGGTTTATTTTTATTTCTTAAAATTTTAAAAAACAGTTTCTGACTTTAAAGAAATTTTGAAATTTTTTGTCAACACTTAGTGACTCATATTTGACTTTTGATTTTTTTTATTTGGTGTTTTAATACATATTATGTATTTTATCAATTGTCATACCCCAAAGTTGCCCCGCCTTGGCGCTACGGTCAAAATTTATTTCAAACTTGGATTTTTTTTTAAATTCTTTTGATTTTCTTTAATATTTTTTATTTTTATAAATATTCGTTCCCAAATCCAGTTAAAAATATAATAATTTATTTCAAATTATTCGTATTTTTAAAATAACAAATATCTGCACACCTTTCATATACTTTCAATTGGGTCTATTTACAAATATGTAACATAACACAATTGGTAATGAATGAAGCTTGCAAGTATAAGGTCACGAGTTTGAATCTCTTCTGGTGCACTTTCAACATTTTTTTTCTATTCCTTTTTTTCACTAATTTTCTTTTCTTTTTTGGAGATCAGACTTTGGACTTTTCATTTAGTTTGGATAACTTAGTCTCCAAGTATTTTTAACCTAATTCTAAATCTATAAATAGGACTCATTGTTGTCCTAATTTTTCATCCACAATTTCTCGCAATTAATAATTTTATCTTACAAATCAACAATTTCACAATCCTCATAAATTCTTTTGTTTTGATTTATTTTAAGGTTCATAACCTTGTTATTGTCTATATCAGACAACAACAACAATTTCTTTATTCTTAGACAAGGATTTCATATGAGGTCTCCCTCTAATTTTCAATGTTATATTATTTTAATTTGTTAGCGTTTAAACTAAGTGATGAATAATTGATGGTTTCTCTTTTAAATTATATTTACAATCTACACTAAATTTTATATATACTTTTACCACAAAAAACTATACCTTTAGTAATCTAATTTATTTTCCCCTGAAAAACTTTTTTGACAGTAGAATTCACAATTGCTATCATACAGCAACACATTGAATTTGCTTCGTAAATTAAAAACTCTTTACTAACACAAACTTTTTTTTCCAGAAAACTCGTAGTTTCTTAACTTCGCTTTAACCCATGATTTCATTACACACAAAAGTTAAACTTTTTGAGTCAACCTTCTTGTCATGTTGCAATTAGACTAAAAATTCTTTAAATCTTGTGTCATTACAAATTACAAACCCCATTATTGTTTTTCTTTCATACCTCGCTAAATAACCAAAAACATAAATCTGTAGATTATTTTTTCTTAACAAACAATAACATAAATCTTAAGTAATCACTTCCTGTATAATTTCCAAACACAAAAGTTAATAACATATATTAACATTCTTCACTACCATGTAAATTACCATGGCAATCAATTCACTAACAATTGGTACATAGCTTTGTGTTTCAGTGAGAACAGGAAAAATAATTGATGAATAGTCATTTCGACAACAACTCTCTCCAATGCTCTGTTCTCCCCCTCACGCACAAGCAGTCCGACCAGCCTCCCTTCAACGTGTATCGGCCGTTGATGAAACCCCGTCGAAGCACTCTCCAGATCCATGACATAACGCGTATCTGACAGCAGATCCTCCATACTCCAGCGGCGATTGAAGCCCCTGCACTGAGGAATCCTAGCCTCTGCATAAATCATATCACTATCGAAGTCCTTCAAGATGAGCGCTCAGCCACACGTGCAGATTAAAACCTAGTAAGCCATCGATATCGTATCACCTACCCGAAGCCTCTCTCCCTTTTTTCAGCAGCGATCTCTCAACTGAGAATACACTCGCTCCCTCTCCTTCCCTAACACGCACTCCCTCCAATCTACGACGGCAAGATCCACGACCATCATTATCGCTCTCGTGAAACCGATTTAAACGCCACCTCCAAGAAAAATAGCATCGAATCTCAACGCAAATGTATTAGAGGGTAATTTAGTATTTTGTTATTTGTAGATAAGTTTTGATTAGGGCCTATGTGGCATTCTTATTTGTGTATAAATAGGTGTACTAGGTTTACATTTATATCAATCAATTCCTTCAATCATTTTCTTTAAGCTTTTAAGCATTTATTCCTTTCTATCTTCTTCCTCAATTTCATCACCTTGCACTAACAAATTGGTATCTAAAGCTCCTAGTTTGTTCTGAAACTCTGGGAAACACGAGTGATAGTGAGCTGTGTGTTTGTTTTTTGAATCTTGAACAAAAATATGAAACAGAATCATACTGATTCTGTGGGTTTGGGAAACACTGAGTCAGAAATCTGAGATCTGAGTTTTTCTGTTCAAAGGTTTAAGATGAATGGAGGCAGTAGTTTGAACACTAAACTTCCAGTTTTTGATGGTAAAAACTGGAACAGATGGAAGATTTAAATGCGTGTGCTGTTTGGTGCTCAGGATGTTCTGGAACTTGTTTCTGAAGGTTATGTTCCAGCTGCAGCAGATGCTACTAAAGAACAAAAATCAGAAGAAAGAGCTACAAGGAAGAGGGATCAAAAAGCTCTGTTCTTTATCCATCAGTGTGTGGATGAAAATGTGTTTGAGAAGATTGTTGATTCGACGACGTCGAAAGGGGCATGGGATATACTGACCAGATGTTATGGTGGTGACGTATCAGTAAAGAAGGTAAAGCTTCAGTCCCTGCGAAAACAATATGAAAATCTCAGCATGAAGAACAATGAGAAAGTTTCTGAATACATCTCCAGAATGATTCTGATCACTAATGAAATGAAGGCTTGTGGAGAAACACTTTCTGAACAGGTAATCATAGAAAAGATTCTGAGGTCACTTACGCCTCAGTTTGATTAAATTGTTGTCTCTATTGAACATTCTAAAAATCTGGAAACCATGAGAATAGAAGAGTTGCAAAGCAGTCTAGAAGCACAAGAGTTGCGTCTGACTGAAAGAACTTCTGAGAGGGAAGTGGAGCAAGCTCTGAAAGCTTCTTTTGTCAAGAAGGACCAGAAGCAGAATAGACATGGTGATAAATTCCAGAAGTCAGAAACCTCAACTTCTGATGAAAAGAAATATCAGAAGGGAAAGGAAAGGTATGACAAGAAGAAGGTTCAATGTTACTGTTGTAAACAGTTTGACCATTTTTCCAGAGACTGTAGAAACAGAGGAAGGAAATCAGAAGAAGCAAACATAGCCAGAGAAGATTCTGATGATGAACCTGTGCTACTGATGGCTTCTGATTCTGATGGAAATTGTTCAGGAGATTGGTGGTATATGGACACTGGCTGTTTAAACCACTTGATTGGGAACAAACAATGGCTGATAGACTTTGACTCCAGAAGGAGAACAAAGATCATATGTGCTGATGATAAGTACCTTAATGAAGAAGGTATGGGAAATGTTAGAGTCAGAGTGAAGAATGGAAGAAACATTTTGATCAAAGACGTCTGGTATGTTCCTGGAATTAAAAGCAATCTGATGAGTGTGGGTCAGCTCATTGAGAAAGGTTTTTCAGTGGTTATGAAGGACAACCTCTTGACGTTGTATGATTCTAATCATAAGTTGATTATAAAGTCTGAGCAGGGAAGCAACAGAACATTCAAGGTGAATGTAGAAACTTCTGAAGCGGAGTGTCTTAGTGCAGAAGGCGCTGAAGCTGACAGTAAGCTGTGGCACAAGAGGTTGGGGCACTTGAACTATAGAAGCTTATGGCATCTAAGTTCTAAGAAGCTCGTACATGGCATTTCGAAGATTGTGAAGCCTCAGAAGTCATGTGAGATATGCATGATAGGCAAGAAACCCAGATTGCCATTTGCATCAGAAGTAGCCCCCAGAGCAAAGCATGCTCTGGGTGTAGTACATTCTGATGTGTGTGGACCATTTCCAGTACTTTCACTTGGAGGAAACAAATATTTCGTGTCTTTTGTGGATGAGTTCACAAGAATGACATGGGTAACACTCATCAAGTTCAAGCATGAAGTGTTTACTGAGTTCCAGAAGTTCAAGGTGAAGGCTGAGAAGCAAAGTGGTCAAAAGCTGAAGATTCTGAGAACAAATGGTGGAGGTGAGTATAACTCTACAGAGTTCCAGAAGTTCTGTGAGGAGAATGGAATAGAACATGAGGTTACTGCTCCATATACTCCTCAGCACAACGGTCTTGCTGAAAGAAGAAACAGAACTTTGCTTGATATGACCAGAAGTATGCTGAAAGAGAAGAAGTTACCTCACATGTTATGGGGAGAAGTTGTTGCCACATCAGCATATGTTCTGAATAGGTGTCCAACAAAGAAGCTGAAGGAAATTGTTCCTTTAGAAAAATGGACTGGAGACAAGCAAAGTGTTAGCCATCTGAAGGTGTTTGGTTCTGTATGCTACAAACACGTTCCAGAGGCTAGAAGACGAAAACTGGATGATAGAAGCAAAACAATGTTACTGGTGGGGTACCACAGTACAGGTGCCTACAAGCTTTATTGTCCAGAAACCAACAAAGTTGAGATCAGCAGAGACGTCATTGTGAAAGAGTCAGAAACATAGGATTGGAACAAGCTTCAATCAGATTCTGGTGTAGTGTCAACACCAGGGTTAGTTTCTGAAGACGAGTCAGAGTCAGAAGGAGAAGACTCTGAAGATGAGTCAGAATCTCAGGGAGATTTTGATAGTGGATCTGATTCTGATCCAGATTCTGATGATGATTCAGAATCTGGTGGTGATTATACTTCTGGAAGGGAAAACTCTGAAGACATGGGGTCTGGAGAACAAGTTTCCATAAGTAATTCTGAAGGAAGTAATTCTGGACAAGGTTCAGAAGCTAGTATTGTTCTGAATTATGGAGAAGCTTCAGAACAAGATCAGAGGCCACAGAGAATTAGACGAATACCAAGTAGGTTTGCAGATTTTAGCATGTTGCATGATACTGAAGTAGATTCTGAAGGAGAAATCTTTTAGTGTGCCATGCTAGTAGATTCTGAACTAGTGGGTATTGAAGAAGCGCTCAAGAAGAAAGTGTGGCTAAATGCCATGAAAGAAGAACTTGAGGCTATTGAAAGAAACAAGACTTGGAAGCTGACAGAACTTCCAAAAGGTAAGAAAGCCATCAGCGTCAGATGGATTTTCAAGAAGAAGCTAAAGCCATATGGATCAATTGGCAAACACAAAGCGAGACTAGTGGCCAGAGGTTTTCTTCAGAAACCTGGACTAGATTACTTTGAGGTATTTGCGCCTGTAGCTAGACACGAAACAATCAGACTGGTGATTGCTTTAGCTGCAAACAGAAATTGGCCTTTGATACATCTGGATGTGAAGTCTGCGTTTCTGAACGGTCCATTACAGGAAGAAGTTTATGTGTCACAACCTCCTGGATTTGTGAAAAAGAATCAGGAAGGGATGGTATATAAGTTGAATAAAGCTCTGTATGGACTGAAGCAAGCGCCCAGAGCTTGGAATCTGAATATTGATTCGTTTTTCAAGGAATAAGGGTTTCAGAAGTGTGAGATGGAGTATGGTGTTTATGTTCAGCATACTTCAGAAGGTAATATGATTCTGGTCTGTTTGTATGTTGATGACATATTACTCACAGGAAGTTCTGAACAAGAAACAACTGAGTTCAAGAAAGTTCTGATGAATGAGTTTGAGATGACAGATCTTGGAAAAATGAGTTTCTTTCTAGGAATGGAACTTATATACTCTAAGAAAGGAATCATTTTACATCAGAAGAAGTATGAACTAGAGCTTCTGAAGATATTTGAGCTAGCAAATTGCAAAGTTGCTATCAGACCTGCTGATACGAATCAGAAGTTGGACTCTGATTCTGATGGAGAGGATGTGGACGCTACAACCTTCAAACAGATGGTTGGTTCTCTGAGGTATTTATGTAATACCAGACCTGATATTTGTTATGCAGTTGGAATGGTCAGCAGATACATGAGAAAACCAAAGTGGTCTCATTACCAAGCTGCTGTCAGGATTCTGAGGTATGTAAAAGGAACTCTGAAATATGGAGTGTTATTTCCTTCTGGAGGAAAGATCAAATCAGAACTTCTGAGCTATTCTGATTCTGATTGGTGTGGAGATAGAGTTGACAGAAGAAGTACTTCTGGGTACTTGTTCAAGTTTCTGGGAGGTCCAATTTCTTAGAGTTCCAAGAAACAGCCTGTTGTGGCTTTGTCAACATGTGAAGCTGAATACATTGCTGGTGCTGTAGCTGCCTGTCAAGCAGTTTGGCTTCTGAATCTGCTGCATGATCTGAAGGTTGAAGTTGAGGAACCTCTAAAGCTGATGATTGATAATAAGTCTGCAATTAATCTTGCAAAGAATCCAGTGCTACATGGCAGAAGCAAGCACATTGAGACGAAGTATCACTTTCTCAGAAGTCAAGTGCAGAAAGGAGTGTTAGAAGTTCTGCACTGTAGCACTCAGAAGCAGCTGACAGATGTTCTGACAAAGGCAATAAAAACAGACCAATTTCTGCGCTTGAGAGATGAAATTGGTGTTGTTAACTTCTAATAAATTACTAAATTACGGGATGGTATTAGAGGCTAATTTAGTATTTTTGTTATTTGTAGATAAGTTTTGATTAGGGCCTATGTGGCATTCTTATTTGTGTATAAATAGGTGTACTAGGTTTACATTTATATCAATCAATTCCTTCAATCATTTTCTGTCAGCTTTTAAGCATTTATTCCTTTCTATCTTCTTCCTCA